CAATAGAAGCATCCATTAATAGTAAAGATAGTGTTAGCTGGACGGGTAGATAGCTTATTAGCATTATTAGTAGTGATAGGAGTGCTTCAAGCTCTTCTTCTCTTAGTACTAAACTCTTCTTTCCTATAGCTTGTTGTTAGTTTGGTAGAATCCGGACGTATAGATGACTTCTGACCATTATTGGTGATGAAAGACTTACAAGTCCATTTACTCTTATTATTGTAAGAAAGAGAAAGGCATCCACTAGTAGTGAATTTGATGGAATCCGGACGAGTAGATGTTTTATAGACATTCTTATTGATGTTAGTAGAGTCCGGACGTATAGATGGCTTATGGCACTAGTAGTGATATGAGTGTTCATTGGATATTCATGAATGGATAGAGGCATTAAGTAAAGATAGTAGTAACTGGACGAGTAGATAACTTATTAGTCCTCGGTAGATAGTCATCATTAGATTGTTTATGAGTATCTTCTTATAAGTATTAAGTGAGTAAAAGAAAAGAGAAGAGTAGAGTAGAATAGCAAAGAAAAGAAGAAGATCACTACTAGTAAAAGAAAAGAAGAAGATCACTACTAATAAAAGAAAAGAGAAGGATGTCCTAAAAGAAAAGAAGAGTACTAGTAAAAGAAAAGAAGGTGATCACAAAAGTAAAATAAAAAGAATCCGGATGAGTAGATATACTCCATTGGTCTTATTAGCACTGGAAGCCGTCCATTAGTTGACGAGACTGGCTAGTAGAGTCCGGACGAGTAGATGAGTAGATGGCTTATGGCACTAGTAGTAATGGAAGTTATTCATTAGCTCATGAGTATAGCTAGTAGAGTCCGGACGAGTAGATGAGTAGATGACTTATAGGTATTAGTATTAGTAGTACTGGAAGCCGTTCATTAGCTCATAAGTCTAGTACTAACTGGACGTATAGATGCTTTATGGACACTAGTATTAGTAGTAATGGAAGACTCTCAAGTATTCACTTCTTATTCTTATTTAGCTATCGTAAGCACCCAACACAACCCCTGCACTAATTAGGTTCTGCAAAAAAAAGTAAGATTTATAAGGTTTCTATTGAGTTAGGTTAGTATTGACTTATTGCGTAATTTGATAAGATTGCGTAAGTTGTCGTAATACGTATTGGGTTGAGAAGATAAACAGAATCCGGACGTAGTCATCTACTTATATACACTATTAGACACTTTACTTACCTCACCTAATAGGTGCAAACTTTTCACTCTCGTCAATGGAGTGAGTAACTAGTTGGGTTTTTGAGTAAAACAATAAATTGGGTTATCAAGTTAGTATTAGCATCCTTAGGCTCCTATTTAGTCATATCAGCTTATTTACTTCATTAATATTTCATTATTACTTCGCCCTTTCAGCTACTATCATAATAAAACACTTTGTCCAATTTTCTCTATTTTTGCCCAAAAACTGTACTAACACGTTGTAATTTGCCTAACTAAATCCCTCTCCTAAGCACACCCCTTTGAGAAATTTCAACTTCATGATTTCCTTAATGAGATACCTAGATAGACTCTATTTGATGAGTTACACATAAGTACGTCCTTCTCTTAACTTCTTATCACCTTTGCTCTAATTAACTCAATTTGTATCCAGTTAATCTTAGTATGTGTACTTTTTATAAAGCTTACTCTTTTAGAATGAATTTGTGTTTAGTTTTAGTTTGAGATTTAGTTTAGTTTAAGTTATTAGAAGTAGTTGTTTATTTAGAGTTGTTATAACGTAGATATAAATTGATATGGCTTAGTATTGAGTTAGTAGTCTATCTAAGTCCTTAGGCGATAATCTACTAACTCGTAGTCTATCTAACTCCTCAGGCGATAATCTACTAACTCGTAATCTATTTAACTCCTCAAACGACAATCTACCAACCCAATACTAAATACTAACTCATTTATAAGTCTTATAATACTAACTCAATGCAATAGAAGAGATTAGTAGTGAATTAGTGTAGTTAATTAGATGATTTACAATAACTATTTTATTAACATAACACGCACCCCTGTAATAACTAGGTTTTGCAAAAAAAAGTAGAATTTATTGGGTTGTTTTAGATTGATATTGCTTAACTGATCATGTAAGTTGATAAGATTGTGTGATTTAACAAGTATTGATAAGATTGCTTAACTGATTGAGTTAGTTTTGGATGGCCAAGATAAACCTAACCCAATACGTAGCCATCTATTTATCTATATTAGTAGGGATTCTGTTTACTCACTTGTAGCCTAGCTTATTAAGATGGTATTAGTATTGCATTGGATTAGTTGAGTGCCTAGCAAGCCATAGCTTCCTACCTACTTCATTATTACTTTGCCATTTCAACTATTATCATAATAAAGCACTTTGGCCAATTTCCTCTATTTTTGCCCAAAAAACACACAATCCTGTTGTAATTTGCCTAACTAAATCCCCCTCCCAAGCACACCCCTTTGAGAAATCTCAACTTCACCAAACTAACTCAAACCTACCTATACTAGTCCAACTTAGTGAGTTAAACTTATATATGCCCTTTCCAGATCTTCTCGTCAGTTTTGCTCTAATTGACTGCTGTTATTATTGACTTTCTATTGGTGTGTAGTTTTTTAGTTAGTATTTGAAAATACAAGTACTTCATTGGGCATTATTATTATTAAGTACTAACCCAAGTACTTATTCTTTAGCAATAGTAACTAGTTCAGAAGAATAGAAGCACATCATCTTCCTATCTCTACTATCAATACGTCCGGATTCTGTTTCTATTACCAATACTCACTTATCATTATGATATCGTTGGTTGTTGGGAAGAAAGGCATCAGCAAAGTACTAGCTGGAGTTATAGATGCTTTATGGACATCAGTAGCGAATGATTCATAAGTACTTTTTCTTCTATTATTGGCTTCTTCCTTCCTTCCTATGGTTGGCTGCAAGAAAGGCATTCATTAGTATTGGGTTAGTAGAGTTGGGTTGGTAGATATTCCATTAACATTAATAGTGATGGAAGGCTTTCTCAAGTGATTAACAAGTAAATAAAAGCGTCATTAATGAAGATAGTACTAACTGGACGGGTAGATATGGCTTATGGACATTATTGATGATATCTGAATCCGGACGGGTAGATGAGTAGTTGCTTTATAGGCATTGGGTGTTGATGATAGTAGCGTTCGTACGGGTAGATACTTCATCGGCATTAGTGGCATAGGAAGCCATCCACTAGTTGATGACTTAGTACTAACTGGATGAATAGATGGCTTATGGGCATGTTCATTGGCATTATTGGTGATGAAAGAGTTACAAGTTCATTTACTCCTATTGGATTCCTTTCTCGTCTAGCTCTTGTTGCAAGGAAAAGAAAGGCCTCCATTAGTTGATGACTTAGTACTAACTGGACGTATAGATTCTTTATGAGTATAGCTAGCAGAATCCGGACGAGTAGATGCTTCATGGCCACTAGTAGTGATAATAGTAGAGTTTGGATGAATAGCGGGCTTATTGGCCTTAATAGTGAAAGATTCTCAAGTACAAGTTCTTCTTCTTTTCTTAGTAATGGATTCCTTTCTCCTGTAGCTAGCTTATTATTGTAAGGAAAGTAAAGCATCCATTAGTAGTGATGATAGTAGAGTTCGGATGAGTAGATGTTTTATAGGCACTGGTAGTATTGGTAGCAGCATTCGGACGAGTAGATGGGCTATTAGTGTTGGCATTAATGATTTAGTACTAACTGGACGCATTGATGCTTTATAGGACTAGTCGCAATGATAACAGCATCCGGACGGGTAGATGACTTATGAGTAGTGATGATAGCCGAGTTCGGACGTATTGATGCTTTATGGACATTAGTAGTGGTGGCATGTGTGCCTCAAGCTCTTCTTCTCTTATTAATGGCTTCTTTTCTCTTATAGTGTCTGTTGCAAGGAAAGAAAGGCATCCACTAGTTGTTAGTTTGGTAGAGTTTGGATGGATAGATGCTTCATTAGTGTTGGCAGCGATACTAACCCAATCCGGACGTATAGATGGACTACTAGTGTTGGTAGTGATGATAGTAGAGTCCGAACAGGTAGATTCTTCATGGCTACTAGTACTGATGGTAGCAGAGTTCGGATGGATAGATGGTTTATGGGTTAGTATTAGTGATAGTAGTAGAATCCGGACGGGTAGATTCTTGATGGCCACTGGTAGTGATAGTAGCAGCATCCGGACTGGTAGATTCTTTATGGATACTAGTAGCAATGATTTAGTACTAACTGGACGAGTGGGTGCTTTATGGGCATTATTGATGACTTAGGCAGAATCCGGACGGATAGATGACTTCTGGCCACTTAGTAGTAATAAAAGGTTTACATGTTCTTTTCCTCTCCTCCTCGTTGGTTTCTTCTTCTTTCCTGTAGCTAGTCTATTACAAGAAAAGAAAGGCATCATTCATTAGTTCATGGGTTTGGTGGAATCCGGACGGGTAGATGGCTTATGGGCATTAATAGTGATAATGGTAGGGTCCGGACGGGTAGAAAGTAGAAGCATCAGTAATAGTAATGATAGTATCAGAGTTCGGACGTATAGATGGCTTATGGCCACTGGTAGTGATGATAGTAGCATCCGGGCGGGTAGATTCTTTATGAGTATTGGTAGCAGAGTTTGGATGGATAGACGGCTTATGGACATTATTGATGATAGTAGTAGGGTTTGGATGGATTGATGCTTTATGGATACTAGTAATGATTTAGTACTAACTGGACGTATAGATGCGTTAATAGTATAGCTAGGAGCATCCGGACTGGTAGATGGCTTATGGCTCTTATTAGTAATGAAATATTTATAAGTCCATTTGCTGCCCTTCTTATTGGGTTCTTCTTTCCTATAGTGTCTGGTGCAGGAAAAAGAAAGGCATTCATTGGTTGTGGGTCTAGTAAGGTCCGGACTGGTAGATGAGTTATGAGTACTGGTAGCAGAGTTGGGGTGAGTGGATGCTTTATTAGTGATGATAGCAGCATCCGGATGGATAGATGACTTATTGGTAGTACTGATGGTAGCAGCATCCGGACTGGTAGATGCATTGTTAGTGTTGGTAGTGATGATAGCAGCATCCGGACGGGTAGATGCTTCATGAACACTAGTAGTGATAGTAGAGTTCGGATGGATAAATAACTTATTGGTGTTGGTAGTGATAGTAGCAGCATCCGGACAAGTGGGTGCTTTATGGGTTAGTATTGATGACTTAGGCAGAATTCGGACGAGTAGATACTTTGTGGCCACTAATAGTATTGGTAGTAGAGTCCGGACTGGTAGATGGCTTATGGCCATTAATAGTGATAGTAGTAGGGTTTGGATGGATAGATTCTTTATGGCCCTTATTAGTAATAAAAGACTTTCAAGCATTTCTTCTTCTCTTATTATTGGATTCCTTTCTTCCTATAGCTATATAGCTAGCTTATTATTGTAAGGAAAAGAAAGGCATCCATATATTAAAGGTAGCAGCATCCGGACGTATAGATGACTTCTGGTTACTAGTAGTAATGGAAGATTCACAAGTTCTTCTTCTCTTATTATTATTGGTTTCTTCTTCTTTCCTATAGCTAGCTTGTTGCAAGGAAAAGAAAGGTGTCCATTTATTAAAGGTAGCAGAGTTCGGATGGATAGTTGGTTTATGGCATTAATAGCATTGTTTAGTGGTATTGGTAGTAGTAATAAAAGATTTACAAGCTCTTCTTTCTTTATTGTTATTAGTAATGATAGCAGCATTCAGATGCCTAATGCATTAGATGCCTACTAAGTCATGGGTCTGTCATAAGTTGGCCGTGATAGCAGCATTCATATACTTACCGGGTCATGGGTCTGTCATTGGGTGGGTCGTAAAATAAAGCAATATTCAGATGCCTACTAAGTCATGGGTCGGTTATGGGTGGGTCATAAAATAAAGCAGCATTCAGATGCCTAATGCATTAGATGCCTACTAAGTCATGGGTCTGTCATAAGTTGGTCATAAAATAAAGCAGCATTCAGATGCCTAATGCATTAGATGCCTAACCCAATAGCAGCATTCGTAAGTCGCAAAATAAAAAGATACACCACCTAACACCACCTAACACCACCTAAACTAACTCAATGAAGAAATTAAACTATAAAGTATCCCCGGTGCCATACTACAAAACAAAACTATCCTAACCATCTGATTGGCTTGTAAAAGCACCCTGCTCGGGTCCAGATAGTACTTTGGTAACCCAAATACTAACGCTACGCTCACATCACTCCTAAGGGGAAGACACACCTAACCTCAGCGGCTCGCCGGAGCTCGCGCGCGCACAGCAGGCGGCCCCGCGTCGTCTACGCGTCCCGCCGGTCGCTCGAGCCGGCCTTCCGGCTTAGAGGCCTTCAGCCGTTATGCCGCGCCCGTAGCCTGCCCCCGTGCCGGGCGGCGCAGGGGACACCAGAGGGGCGCCCGCGCGCTTCCTTTCGTACTGCGCGCCCGTGCTCGCCCGACGCCGCAGTAGGGTAAAACTAACCTGTCTCACGACGGTCTAAACCCAGCTCACGTTCCCTGTTGGTGGGTGAACAATCCCACGCTTTGCGCCTCGTGCAGCGCAGCGCTAGGAAGAGCCGACATCGAAGGATCAAAAAGCGGCGTCGCTGTGGACGCTTGGCCGCCACAAGCCAGTTATCCCTGTGGTAACTTTTCCGTCACCCGCGGCTCCGCGATCGGGTTGCCGCGGGATCGCTAGGCCCGGGTTTCCCCGCGCGACCGCTTGCCCCGGCCGCTCCGGCGGGCTTGTGCCCTTGTGCTCTCCGCGGGGTTTCCCGCCCCGCTGAGCCCGCCTCTGGACAGCTGCGTTGTCGTCTTGCAGCCGTGCCGCCCCAGCCAAACTCCCCACCACTCGCCTTCTTTTACGCGTCACAAATTGTGCCACCCGCAAAATTAGTTAGGGTTTGAGATGGTTAGTGGTGTTTCACTTCCAACACCCCATAGAATACTAACCCTATAAGATATTAATACCACCTACGCTACACACCATCTCCACCCTAACCCAACTGACTAGAGTCAAGCTCAACAGGGTCTTCTTTCCCCGCTGCGCACCCAGGCCCGTTCCCCTGGCTGTGGTTTCGCTGGCCGCAGATAGGGACAGCGGGAATCTCGTTGGTCCATTCATGCGCGTCACTAATCAGATGACGAGGCGTTTGGCTACCTTAAGAGAGTCATAGTTACTCCCGCCGTTTACCCGCGCTTGTGCGGCTCGCCCCGCGGTAACTCTCTGGGCACTGGGCAGAACTCACCTCCCCTCCGCACCCGCCGGGGCTCCGGGAGGCTATGTTTTTATTAGACAGTCAGACTCCCCCGCCGTTCCGGTTCTAGCCGCGCCAGAGCCAACGCTTCTCCCGAAGTTACGCGTCTATTTTGCCGAATTCCCTTACCTGCGCTCTCCCGCGCCAGAGGCTGCTCGCCTCGGAGACCTGCTGCGGTTTCGGTACGGGCACCCTTCCCCAAGCGTTTCTTTTCACGCACCCGCGGCTCCGCGCCGGCGCCTCTTCGCCACCCGACGTGTCCGAGCGCGCCCTGCGGTGGATGCCCTTCCTGTGCCCGCGTGCCGCGAGTGTCGAAACTCTTCTCCCGCTGCCGTCCGTCCGGGTGGCGTCTTTTTCTTCCCCTTCGCGCCACGGCCTGTGCCGCTTAGGCCCGGCTCTCTCCTGTGGAAACCCTTCTCCTCCTCGGCCCTTGGCGCCCAAGTCCGCTACTCCCTCCAAGATCCGCGCCCGCGCGCCCTCCAGCCGCCATCGCCGCCGGCCTTCCCCGCTCGCGCGCCGCCAGGCTACTTGCGTTGAGTAACGATAAGTTAGGTTATGTAACCAAACCCTACCAAACCTATACCTAACGCAGCACACTTTCGGGGGGAGCTGCAGCGCCCTCCATTTTCGGCGCGCGCGGGTTCGGCAGGTATGTTGCGACACACTTCTTCCCGGATGCCGACCTCCATGGCCACCGCCCTGCTGTCCTGACCCGCGCCCGGCCTTCGGCTCTCCGCCTCCCCGCGGCCCCTTACGTGCGCGCGCGGTTCGGCCCGCTTCGCGCGCCCTGCTTACCAGGACACGCCCACCGAGCGCGCCGCGGCGCGTGCGTTCGCAGTTCGAGGCTCTCCTCGTCCGCTCTACCGCGCGCCCCGCCCGCGCGCCCGCTGTCCTGCGGGACATTTCGCCCGGAACCAGCTACCAGGCAGTTCGATGGGTCTTTCGCCGCTACGCCCAGCTCCCGGGACCGATTTGCACGTCAGGCCCCCTCCGAGCCTCTGCCGGGGCTTCCCCCGCCGTCGCTCTCGCCAGGCGTAGTTCACCGCCTTTCGGGTCAGGTTAGTGGAGTTATTTACTTATCTCTCCAATTACGCACACCTACTCGCCCCAAGTATTACATACTTGCAACTCACTCCATTAACCTACTCCTTGGTCCGTGTTTCAAGACGGGTTGCTCCCGCTCCCGCTCAAGCGAGGGCACTTCGCGCCGCCTGTTTCGCGCCTTTTCACTCCGCTCCCGCGCGTCTTTTCTCCTTTCCCTCGCGGTACTTCTCCTCTATCGGCCTATCCCTCTATTTAGCCTTCGATGGATCGCTCCACCTTTCACTGTGCGAGCCCATGCACAGCTACTCTCCGCGCCGCGCGTCGTACGGGGCTTCCACCCTCTCTGGCCCGAGCGCCGCCTCTCTTCCCGCTCGCCGCTGCACACCCCCTCCGGTTCGCCGCGGGCTCCTCCCCTTTCGCTCGCCGCTACTCCGGGAATCCGTCTTCGTTTCTTTTCCTCCGCGTACTGATATGCTTAAGTTCCGCGGGTCGTCCCGCGTGAGTCGCCCGTTCCGGCCCGGCCGCGCCCGTCTCTGCGCGCCCTTTCGCGTTCGCCGCGCCCTTCCTCGCCCGGATAGCCAAGGGGTCCCCAGGCGGCGCCCTCAATTGCGTAGTGTATTTGTATGATTTAGTAGTTGACTCAGATAGATATCCTATCCCAACTCAATACTACCCAATGGATGAATACTAAACGCACCCACCTAAATCACACCCACTTTACACTAACTAATCCTTCCGCAGGTTCTCCTACGGAAACCTTGTTACGACTTTTATCCAATCTAGACGCGCTGGCTCCCGCGCGCACGCGCTTGCCGCGCACGCCCATCTCAGATAGCGACGGGCGGTGTGTACAAGAGACAGGGACGCTGTCTCCGCGGGCTGGTGACCCGCGGATACTGAGAATTCCTCGTTCGGCCCGCGCTTCCAGCCGGGCATCCCCCGCGCGCCGCTCCGCTCGCGCCTCTCGGCACTTTCTCCTGCGCGCACTGTAGCACGCGTGCAGCCCGCCGCTTCCAAGGGCATCACGGACCTGCTATCGCCCGCCCTCCTCCGGCTACCCGCCGGCCGTCTGCCTGCCTCAGGCACGCGGATCACGCCCGTTAGCGGAATCAACCAGACAGGTCACCCCACGGGCCAAGAGCGGCCATGCACCACTCTCTGCCGAATCTCCTTCTGATCCCCACGACATCCTCCGCCGGTAAGCTGCCCCGTGTTGAGTCAAATTAAGCCGCATGCTCCACTCTTTGTGGTATCTCTCCGTCAATTTCCTTTAAGTTTCCGTCTTGCGACTATACTTTCCCCAGAGCCCGCGCACTCTTGATTTCTCTTGGGCCGCCCGCGCCGCCTTCGGCCCGGACGTCCCTGTCGGCATCGTTTACCGCCGGAACTACAACGGTCTCTAATCGTCTTCGATCCTCCGGCCTTCGTCCCTGACCAATGAAAGCATCCCTGGCAGGCGCCTTCGCCTCTGTCCGTCCTCGGCAAGTCTCCGAATTTCACCTCTGGCTGCCAAATCCTCCTGCCCCCGCCTGCCCCTCTCGGCCCTTGTCCCGTGCTCAACGCTCCCTTTGAGCCGCCTGCTTTCCCCACGGGCGCCCTGCCCGGCTGCGGACCTTTTAACTGCAGCAACCACCACAGACCCTTCTGGAGCTGGAATTACCGCGGCTGCTGGCACCAGACTTGCCCTCCAGTCGCTCGTCGCGCGCTGCATTGCCCCGCGCCCATCCGCCGTATGTCTCCTCGCTGCTTCTCCCTCTGGGAAGTGAGCAATTTCCGCGCCTGCTGCGGTCCTTGGACCTAGGTGCCATGTCTCATACACCCTCTCCGGAATCAAACCCCTATTCCCCGTCTCCCGTCGTCGCCAAGGCCGGCCCGTACCCGGCCTTCTAGCTGATGGGCCAGTCTCCCGTTTGGCTGCGCCCTGCGCCGCTCTGGCGTCCTGTCTCCTCTCGGATGCCCCCTTCCTTTCGTCGTCTTGACCGAAGGTTTCCTCGGGTGTCCGCCGCATTCTGCCAAGCCGGTCCGGACTGCGTTACTGAGCCGTTCGCTGCTTGCTT